TACAGGCGAGACTTGAGTTCCAGTTCTATTACAGCTCTGAATTCTGGGCAGATACACGCAGAGCTGTCCAGAGCCCTAAGACAATCAGCCAGTCAGAAGGAAAGCAGCATCTTGGTCATGCTGGGACAGAGGAGCGCGGGAGGGTGGGGGCAGCAGAAGGAGGGCTCAGTTTAGCCTGGGTCAGCCGGCTTCTGGCTAACGTGGCCTGAGGGTGCTGGGAGGGACGACAGGGTCTCAATGCCCACCTCTTCCTTGCTGGATGCCCCTTTCAGCAGGTGGAAGTTATATAGTCTTTTAAAAACCCAGCTTGAAGTTTGAGCTCCTATTCTCACTTCTCCACTGAAAATACACACTGAGGCTAAATCCTGTCAGACAATCCGAGGATGGGGTCAGACCGTCCCCTGTCTTGGAATCGGGCCTCCACTCTGCATGCTTGGACTTGGACACCAAGAGCAGGCCTGACTCCTCCTCCTCTGGAGCTGTGTGTGCTCCTTAGAGGGGTGAGTGCTGTCCACGGAGGCTGGGGACACAGGAAGTAGAGGCCACAGCAGAGGACTGCTTGGTCCCCAGGATAGAAGCAGCTGGTGTCCAGGATGACTGTCCTTGTGAACTGCTCTGCCAAGGCTTTCCAGCTTGGGGGAGAAGCCCAGGACAGTTGGCACCATCAAAGTGGAGATAAAATACTTTTTATATAAATTCCCTGAACCTTGGAAGCCCTATTTCCCTAGAAAGGAGAGTCCTGCTGGGTCTGCACATTCTTTGGGGGAATGTTCTTTCTTACCTCACTGTTCTCTTTGCATAGGCTCCTGCCAACCCCGTCACTGTTCTTCGACAGTCCAATGCCACTGTCCCCAAGAGGGGCTTCCCATGGGCTACCTTGTTTCCTTAACTGAGGGCAGCCCCTTCGCACTTCATTCTGGGTGTGGACAACTGGTTCTCTTTGGTCAAGCCTGGGCCAAGGTCCAGGCAGGTGGGATGGGCTGTGTCATCCACACAGCCTCCCTTGCTGATGAGGAGCGGCATGGTTTGAGGAGTGGGCAGCCTGTCAGGCTTATTTTCTTCCTAGGTCCCTTGGTCAGAGCCCACATGTGGTGGGCAGGCTTTGCTCCTCCTTGATGGAGGGTTTTAATTCCCGTAGTCTGGGGGCTGACAGGTGGTTCCACGATTCCCCTTTACTATAAGTCCCTGTGTGTGGGGCTCAAGGGTCCAGCTCCCAGCTCCCAGCTCCAGCTGCGGAGGTCTTGCCGGGTTTGTGCATGCCCACGGAGCCTGCCTTATTCCCTGAGGTCAGAGGCCCTTCCTGCAGGCCACCACGGCCACTCGGTGAGTCTGCTCCCTCACCACTGCCCTGTCAGGAACTCTCCGGGTCCTGCTCAGCACACACTCCGCCACTTCCCGGGCAGGCACTGGACCCCACCCTCTCCTGGCTCAGGCCTTTTCTTTCTGGTCACTCTTTCCCTCCCTTCTCCCTGCTCATCCCTCAAGCCTGCTAGGTTACCCAAGCACACTCACACAGACACACCAATAGAGATACACCAGCCACACCAGCCACACACACACACACACACACACACACACAGGAATATAGGTGGAGGTTGAAATCCAGATCAGGTACACACACACACACACACACACACACAGGAATGTAGGTAGAGGTTGAAATCCAGATCAGGTACACACACACACACACACACACACACACACACACAAGCCCGCATGGGAGCACACATACACACATGCACATCATAAACACACATGGATACCAGGGACACAGGCGTAAACACACAGGCCATGTGTGCTTCCAGGAAACCTGGCTTTCCCCCCACACTCTGGGGTGCACAGAAAGCCACTGTGGACATTTTCTGACCCAGTCACACCTCAAGGGCCCCAAGCTACCCACTGAATCATGAAGCACTTTCCTGTTTAAGTTTATTTTCTTCTGGCAGAAGGGAGCTACTTATTTCCAAGAAGTGGAGCCAGGGGAGTCTGCTGAACCCACGATGTGGCTGGGGACACATTTTGGCGTCCTGTCCTCCCACAGAGCTTTGTTTACACAGCTCCAGTTTCTCTGGACTTCAGGGCCCTAAGAGGCACCGCAGCTTACACTCTGCCGCAGTGAGTGGCACAGAATAGAGCTGCAGTCAGTAAAGCTTCTGTTATTGGTCATTTACCAGACCCTCTTGATCCCTGCCCAGGATCTGGGGACAATTCTTGCCACCTTCTTTGTGTGTCTTACTTCCTAGGTCCAGGAACTGAGAATCTGGTCAAGTCTGTAAGTGAAGAGTCTCCTTTGACCACCTGGAGCATTTTCTCAGTGATCTGACTTCTGTGAATTAAGGACAAGGTGTTGTGTTTGTGCCGTGTGGGGCTGACTTTCTACCACTTGGAACGGTGCCCAGCACACAGTAGGAATTTCGTGAATATTTGTTGTGTGGATAATCAAGACCGACACAACAACCCTTTAAGTTTGGTTTGATTGTTTTTTCCCCCAGGTCAGCAAGGCCCATACAGTTGAACAAGGAATGGAGCCCAGGTTTAGGTTTGTAGACACCATGCTACACAGTTAGGAGAGTCGGGACCTCCTGGCCTTAGGGGTCCTTTCCCCGGTGAACTTTTTAGTTTACGATTTTTGCCATGGCTCCTTTAAGGTTAATGGAAAGAGCACTCCACTCATGGAAACTGAACCCCATAATCTGGGGTACTAGGTCACTCCTCCTCTGGCTGGTTCCACTGGCTTTTGGATTTTCCTTGTTGTTTGGCCAAACCTAGCTCATCTCCACGCTGGGTAACCTGGGAACACAGGCTGGAGTGCCTCAGAGTGGCAAAAACATACCTGAATTAAGCCTGACTATGGCTCTGCACTGAGCCCACCACTTAAGTCTCATTCTTGGGGTAGTCATATGACCGGGCTTTCCAGTCATTCATTCATTCATTTTCATTCATTCATTGTTCATTCACTCAGCCCATATTTATTGGACACCCCCTGCCGGGGGTACTGTGTTGAATTGAAAAGTGCCACTGACCTCTGGGGCCTAACAGACACAAGATCAAATAAACCCTGTGCTTCAGGGTGGATGCATCAAGGAGGCTGGGGTGAGAGAGAAAGTCACCCTCTCACCCAAAGGCCATCAAACCACAGTGAGCTACAGCATGGCCTTACCAACATGGATTCCCGGATCCCAGATATCCCTTTCAGCAAGTCTGGGAAAGGGTCCAAGAGCTACATACTTAACTATCTCCCCAGGTGATTCCAGAACCAGGGAGTGTGGAGGGAGAGATCAACTGAGAAAATCTGTACTAACAAGTCAGAGAAAATGTCCCAGGGAAAAGATTGTACCTGCGAGGATGGGTAAAGATTTGCCAACCAGCAAGAGGATAAAAAACCTTTATAGATTTATAATGTAACTTTAAGAATGTTTGTTGTGGAATTAGTCAAATGGCAAAGAAATTAGTGGAATAAAATATTAAAAATGACTTACCCAGGGTAACTGTGATACTTAGCTTAGTGTGCATCCCTTCAGACATCAGATATATGATGGAAATTCCCAGTTGTAGAAATCTATGGTATCTGTAGCTGCATCTCTAACTACCAATATATTTGCAAAAGAAGCTCACAGGTGCCACTATCACCATAAATGGCCTCCTCTGATGTTGGGATGAATTCTGGGACCCCTGAGATGCTTCAGTGGACAAAAGTTTCTTCTCCTAGGGTCCAAAGGATCTGCTCATAGATCTTTACACTTATTTTATAAATTACTTTTATTGAGTATGATAGGCCTAGGTGTGCAAATCCTAAGTGTACAACAACAGCTGTTGGATTTTCTCAAACCAAACACAGCCACGGGGCCAGCACCCATTCAGGACACAGAATGTGACCAGCATCCCACTGCCTCTCCTTCTACACTCTTCCTTTCCAGAACTCAGGTATAAGAATTAGGAGTGGAACTAAGGATAAGTTTGAAGGCACCAAACTATAATCTAGATGAGCCCCAGGCGTCTTCCTCGGGTATCCCTTCTCTCCTGAGAAATGATTTCTCTGCTGGTTTCTGGTGGCTGCTCCAGCCAGCTCACACAAGCAGGAAGAGAGCTTTACTTTGCAAAGCTAAGCCTGTGCTCTTAAGTGATGGCCAACTGGCAGAGGATCAGAGGTCCTGAGCCATCCTGATAGGAGCCCATCCTGATAGGTGCTGTTTGCATGTTGATCTCAAAAGGTTCTTGCCATCTCTGCTGCCTCCTGGCACACACGTGCCCCTGGAAGGGCCTACTCTGAGGGCTTTTTGACCATGAGGTCTATTGTGAATGACCTCCTTCTCCCTACTTACTTCCATTTCTCTGGCACCACCTTCTTCCAGATCTGGGGAAACAGACTCCCGTGTTCTTTGAGGCTCCATTCTTAACCATCACTAGCAATTGTCCCTGCTACCTCTTTGCCCTGAGGTCCTTTAAAGATTTTTTTATGAGTTATTTTTTACTATGTACGCACTATTTTAATTTCAGAAGGAGGACAGTCTTGTGGGGAAATACGCTCACCATAGAGCCATGTACAAGGTAAAAAGTGAAAACCTGTCCCACCCACTACGGCTCCCTCTCCCACTGCCCAGGGAACCTCCAAGAGCTGAAGTTACGTGCGCATCTGCCCAAAGTGTGATCGTGTTTTCCCATCTTACAACTTATTTTGTTGTTGTTTGCCTTAACAATATAGCATGCCCATCCTTACAAATCAGTCCACAGAACTCTCCTTCACTCATTTCAACAACTTCAAAGTATTCATCAGTGTAAATGTGCCATAAATGACCTTGCTATTTTTGTAATATGGGGGGCATTTAAATTGTTTCCTATTTTTGCTATAATGAACAAGGATGCGGTAAACATGCTCTAGATATGTATTTGTCCAAGTGCTTTGATGAGAAAAACAATCCTGGAAATGTAATGATAGGGGTCAAAACTCATCTGCCTTTTAAATGCTGTTGTTGCACATTAGTTATGCTTTTGCCAACAGAGTAAGGTACAGCCCCTTTTCCCTCTCTAACCATTGCGTATTATTAATTTTTTAAAAATTACCAATTTACAAGTGGGAAAGAATATTCCATTTTATTTTGTGTTCCCCTCAGGACTGATGAGTCTTAGCATCTTCCCTTATGTTTTTAATTTAAGCATGTACCATCCTTTCCGAGAAGACTTCAGGTATGAGGTGTGAGCCTGACGTGTTTGGGCCACAGGGGATGGTCCGTGAGTCTGGAACTCAGTGCGTAGGGGTGGAAAAGATGGTAAAAATGTTGGCAGAGGCCAGATCATAAAAGGCCACATTTGCTTGGTGAAGGAGTTGGGATTTTACCTAAAAAGCAGTGGGAACCACCAAGGGTTTGTAAAAAGGGAGATAGAATGATCAGATTTGTATGTCAATAGCCCCATCAGGAACAGATTGCAAGGACTAAATTTGGAGATAGAGGATAGAGGTAATGGCGGGTTGTGGGGACAGACAAAAATGAATAAATGAATGAGTGAATAAAGCCAAGTTTCTCAAACAATATCAATCAACTTTCTTGATGACACATTCTTGATGGTTGGTAGCAGAGATTTATACTGGAAGAAGATGGGTAAGACCTTCTGTGGGATTACCTGAACCTTCCTTAGTTTCCATTTGCTGAAGGTGGCATGAGGCCCATCCCCATGAACAAGTCCTCTTCTGGGTCCGGTCACCTGGATGCTGGAGGTCACACCAACTGGTCTTGTGATTACAGTAGGGTAGGAGCTTGGGCTTTCTTCTTTCCTGCTAATGGCCAGGCCCATGGCACCCCTATTAGATATGGTTGGAGCTCAGATGATGGCATTTCTTCTGAGATCCCTGCAGCTAAATCTGCTGCGAGCCATCGACTCAGCCACATGCCCACTTAGAGAGCATGTGCTGTGGTCCTGGGGGGTTGAGAGGGTTTAACACTCAATTTCTCCCCTGAAGAGCTTATAGTCAAATTAGGGAGAGGAAATGAGAGGTTCGGATTCCACAGGGGCAAAAGATAATGCCCACAAATCCTGGAGCAGAACAGAGGGTTTGGGCCTAAGTGCAAATGAATTCATGCAGACAGATATGTCAAAGCCCATCAGGTACTCTCTCCTGGGTGATTCCAGTTAGATGCCTCCTGTGTCTTAGACACCTACGACTTAATTTGCTTAAGACTTGAGTTTTGATTCTTCTCCCCATGACCTCAACCTGAATCTACCTAAGCCTCTTCCACTTGGGCCACCATCCACAACCCAGACAGAAAACTGACAGTCCTTTGATCAGTAGAGCTGTTTTACGGATCATGCTTCCTAAATAGAAATGCAGTCTCTCCACCTCTTCCTATTTTTATCACCGCCCCAATCTAAACCATTACCATCTCCCAGCTAAAAAAAAGACAGTCTTCTGACTTGTCTCTGAGCTTCAATCCTTGGTCACCTACAATTCACTCCCCATGTAGCGGATGTGAAATTAAAGAGAGAGAGAGAGAGAGAGAGAGAGATTGCATAGAATGCATCACGCCACTCACGTGCTTCGGGCCCTTCAATGGCTTCCCATTTCAATGAGAAAAATAACTCGACTTCTTGCCTAAGAGGCCCTGTTTGATCTGGCCCCTGATAACCTTTCCAAGCTCCTCTGGGAGGAGGCTGTGGGGCCAGTCCCCATAGCTTGCTATTTTCACTTCCTCAAATAAGTCAGGCTCCTTCCTTGTCCTTGGATTCTGTTCTTCCTTGTGTCTGAACCCTCTTTCACGTGTTTGACTCCTGTGTGGGAGCATCATTCTTTTTAAGGTAGTGGTAGAGCACTTGCCTAGCATGTGCAAGGCCCTGGGTCCCATCCCCAGTACTGCAAAACAAACAAATAGATAAAAAGTCATGTGCTTTTTAAAGCAGAAAACTTTAGAATCTGGTCTTATGGAGACAGTCTACGTATGTGTGAAGATAAGTACAAGATCCGAATAACATCACTGTTTCTAGCAAGAAAATATTGGACACACCCTAAGAGGTGTTGTATGGGGAGCAGGCGATAGAAGTACAGTTAGTTTATGCAGAGGAACACTTTGGAAGCTGTTATAAAAAAATGTGTGCTCTTATGGCAAAATTCTCAAGCTATACCAAATGGAAAAAGATACGGAAGGATGCCTATAGGGTCCTCTCATTTGCGTGAAAGGGTATGTTTATTTAGCTCTATATGCCTATATGTAGAGACCCTCTGGAAGGAAACCCAAGGGGTGTGGTAATGGCTGTCACCTCTGGGGAGGCCAATGAAGGGACCTATGACCCAAGTGGCAGGGAGGTGTTTCAAAGTTTTAATTTCTCCCATGTATATGCTTTTTTTTTTTTTTTTGCATTTAATTTACAGACAGGGTCTTTCTAAGTTACTTAGGGCCTTGCTAAGTTGCTGAGGCTGGCTTTGAACTTGCAATCCTCCTGTCTCAGCCTCCCAAGCCACTGGGACTACAGGCATGCGCTGCCTTGCCTGGCTATACTTTCTTTCAAAAATAGAGTTTTTGGTCTCTGAAAGGAACTGTGCAGTGGAAACAGGCTCCAACAGGCCAGGCCAGGCCAGGTCTGTGAGCATAACTTGGCCTGCTTAGCTCTTCTGAGGCTTGGGTCTTCAGGGGTCTGCAGGGGGAGAGCAGCTGCCCAGGCTTGCACTGGAAGCTGGGGATATTCTGCTGGTCATTCAGGGAAACACAGGCTCCAACTTCCTCCCCCGGGGCTTGCTGTGTGGGGTGCCCACGCCTTCCTCCTAATTCACGTCCCTTCTTGTCTCCATGGAGGCCTCTCCCTGAGAGGACAACCAAGGAAATGTCCTTTTTCAGGCTGTTTGTCATTTGGCAATCTTTCTCTTTCTTTCTCTCTTTCTCTCTCTCTCTTTCTTTTTTTCTTTCTTTCTTTTCTTTCCTTTCTTTCTTTTTTTAGGTCAAAACTGTAGAACAAAAACTTGCTCCAGCAGGCAGTCAACTGTGGCTCTCCCCAGGCCTCAGTGATCGTAACGAGGATCACAGGCTTGGGAATGAGCCAGGGATGGGTTTGAGTCATTGCTCAACCTTTGCAGCTTTGCATCCTTGGGCAAGTCAAGGGACCGCACTGTGTCTCGTTGCTTTGTTGATAAGCTGGCATCAGAAGGCCTGCCACCATTCCTGAGACCCAGGTAAGGAGCAGTGCCTCTTCCCCTGCTTCGTGAAATGGGAAGGTCCGTGTGAATGGGTCATGTGGGTGGCAGAACCTAGAGGTTTCCTAGGGCTTCCATAATAAATTGGCTTCAAACAACATCAATTCATTCTCTCACAGCGGTGGAGGGTGGAACTCCGAAATTAAGGTGTATGTAGGGCCACGCACACTCTGAAGGCCCCAGGACAGGGCCCCTTCCTGCCTCTTCCCGTTCCTAGTGACCGTCTACTTCCTTGTGGGCAACTTCACTGCAACCTGCCCCCGTTTTCTCTGGGCCTTTTCTTCTTTCTGTCTCTCCTCTGGCGTCTGTTGTCCCTGGATTTAAAGCTCCAGTGGATAATTCAAGATGATCTCATCTCAAGATTCTTATCTTCTTTACATCTGCAAAAAAAAAAAAAAAAAAAGACCCTTTTTACAAATAAGGTCGCACTCAGTTCTGGGGGTTAGAATGTGAGCATGTTTTTTTTTTTTGGTGGAAACCATTCTACCCAATACACAGAAGAAGCAAGTCAAGGGGGCATGGAAGCCCCTGAATATGTGCCCAATGTGTGTCCATGCTGTGGCGGTTCAAGACAGGTGCCAGTCCTGTGTGTCTGCTTCTGAGCCACACAGTGCTGTTCCAATGGCCACCTCAAAGGACTGCTGCTCTGACTCTGCTTTTCTCTCCTGAGCCCTCTCCGTCTTCCCTCTGCCTCCCAATCAAACCAACACCAACCTTCCTTCCTGGGCCTGGGAGGTGGCACAGAACCCAGATGAGATCCTGTAAATGCAAATCTTCTCATTCATTTGAAGACCAGAGGAGGACTGCAGTTTAATTCAGGGTGTTTTCCCAATGTCAGCCTTTGGGTTTTGACCTTGCATGACAAATTTAAGATGTCTCCATGGGCGGAAGCTGGACAAAGGGAGGCGATTCTCTGTGCAATGATGGCAACTTCCAGTGAGTCTATAATCAATTCAAAATAAAAAACAGTCCAAAAAAGTTCCCTATGAATAGTTGAAATCCAAGCAAGTACCCATAACCTCTGTAGATCTTTCTGGATTAGAAGGTAGAAGTCAACCTCTCACTCTCAGCAGGATGTGGGCTACTTCATGCTCCCAAGGTAACCTGACGCTTCCCATTCCCATGGACTGTGGGAAGTGGCCTAACCTTGGTCTAGCTCCATCCCCATTCCAGGCCTCCTGGGATCCTATTCTAACCACCTCCCTGAGAAGGGAGTTTGGCCAGGCCCTCCCCAAGCCTCCGCAGGGCTGGGCTGGGCTGGGCTGGGCTGGGTGGCAGACACATGGCTGGGTTGGGCCAGCCTCACCTGGCCCTGCAGCCCAGGCTGAACCCTGCTGCTGCTGCCACATGCACAGGGCTCTGGGGCTTCTCCCTGTATTTCCCTGGCAGGCATGTGGCCTCAGTAACCCCACCCTGTGTCAGAAGCTCTGAGCTCCTAGGTGGTGCCGCTCTGGCTTGGGGCCAGCCTTCCCTACCCTGATTTTGGTTGTCATCCTCCTCCTTCTCCTCCCTGGGGCAGGGTGCTCAGCTCCCTTCCCGTGGCAGACTGCAGTTCCACTAGTCTGGGCAAGTCAGAGGCACCCTCCCTGGCCGACTTGTCTGATTTTTTTCTCTCCTTCCTCCTCACCCACGTGGTGGCTCTGCATGAGTTCCGTACAGTGTGATTGGGTGTTCCAGGGGTTATGAATTTGGAGTCCCATGACATTGGGGGCTATTCTTGAAACCCTCTGAAGTTACATATGAGAAGTAGGAGCATTTTCCAAGGGGAGACATTGATCCTCAGAAGGGCCCATGAACCAACAGTGAAGAGTCTCTTAGGACCACAAAAGGCTGCAACATAACTGTTAATCATTTTGTTTCTGGCATCTGCCTGCCTGGCTATCATATCATTTCTCCTGAGTTAGCTCATCTCTGTGCCTCAGTTTCCTCCCATGGAAAATTAATTAAATGATAACATCATACTGCATATCACAATTACATGGTGATATGAGGAGCAAATGAGAAAGTCATATAAAATTCTTGGCACAAGCCAGTGAGAACTCAATAGAGATTACCTATTATTATCATTATCTGCCCTGAGTGCAGATGAACTCAGTTCTTGCTTACAGCAGCTGTGTGACCCAGGGAGTAGCGCCATCTTCTGAAAGATCTCATCTGACCAATGTCACAGGCATTCAAAGGTAGGACTGGAATTTGAACCCATAGCCTGTCTCTTTTTGCTACGTTGTGTTGTCACTCACTGCAAAAAGATCCAGAAAAGAGAGGTGAGAGGGTCGGAAAAATGTTCAATACCTTAAAATTCTTTCATGGGCTGTCTCTGGAACATCTTTTCTGTTTTGCCAACTGAGGTGTATGAGAAAACACTATGCTTGCATGTGATGACTGGACTGGAGGAAAATTCTAGAAGGGCCTGGATTCCATGGAAAGATTGTGTCCTTGCAGAAAACCCTCCAGCCTTTGTAGATGCCATTCCTTCCTTAATTTGAGGTCTATCTGGTCATCTGTCCAAACCTACCTCACCTGTCAGCTGCCTGGAACCCTAACCCTGACCCTGTAGTGTTGATTGTCTTCCAGCGTTTTGCATACTATTATTGGGCATTTATTAACTGCTTTACCATTTCTTTGCTTAGGTCCCATTCCTGTCTTTGTAACTAGGTAAGGCCTGTGTCCGAAGCCATTTTTTTTTCTCCCTGTGCTCAATTTGGTGATTGGAATAAACACACATGATTAGAAGGATGTCCTCTCTCCATTCTTTCTTCCTCAATCATTTCTTGCCCACTTGTGGGGTATGGAGATGAGCAATCCATATCCTCAAGGCATCCAAGCCAGAGATGGGGTGATAGCACATCTCCTGTGAAGCTCAGCCAGGTTTGTGCCTGGGCTGCCTGTTATAACTTACAGTCCTCAAAGGCAGGGTAAGGAATCCAAACCACCCAGGACACCCAGGCCTTTTCCCCAGGCACCTATTTGGCATTAGAAATGAACCAAAGGGCAAGAGTATGAGAAATGGCCGTTCCCCTGGGGACACTCTACGTGACAGAAAGGAGAGTCTTAATATTCCGGGACCTGCCTGATGCTTGGGAGTGCCCAAGCCAGGCTGACCAGCTTGCCCCTTGGATTTATGATCTTCCTTCTCTACGAGCATGAGAGGGCTGCCAGGCCCAGCCTTGTCAACCCCCAGCCTTTCCAGAGATAGAGAAAAGTGTTTATTGAAAGATGGGAAAAGACAAAGCTCCAGATGATCACAGAATAGCTCAGAGTGGCCTCAGACTGTGAGTCAGGACTCTGTATTCTGAACTTCCAGGGGTGCACATGGAAATAGTGGTTGTTAATAGGAGGGAAATAGAGAGATCTGGCAGGGGCAAGGATAGTTCCAGATTCAGTGTTAATTATTGTCTATTTGAAGTCTATGCCCGAGGGTCCATGCCCAGACTCCCACCCACGATTCTCCCCAAAGCCTGGCTTGTCTCAGAAAATGGCGCCCCTATCCATCCTGAAACTGAAAAATCAGCCTGGCCCTCCCTGTCCCACGCCATCCCAAATCAATCTGTCAGCAAGAAGATCTGTTCTTTTTGTTTCTAAAACTTCCCTTAAGTTCATCCCCTTCTCTCTGTTCCTAGAGCCACCACTTGAGTCCTTCACCAACCCCTCACTGAACTATTTTCATAGTGCCCTCCCTCAGTTTCTCTCATCAATCTCATCTCCCCAAACTCCACAGACATTAGTTGGTCCAAAAGGAGGGAAAAAAATCTTAAAAACAATGCAAATCTAGTCAAGTTACTCCTCCATTAAAAATGTTTTAATGTGTATTGAATGATACACCTAAAATCTGTGACTTCATGTTATGCAATGTTTCTTAAAAACCTGTGTACAAACACGGAACTCTAATTGATGATATGCATGCTGCAAGTTTGGAATCGAGCGTCTGGAGGACTACCATCTACTTATGAAATGCAACAAGAAATAATATGGTGAATGGATGGATAGATGGATGGCTTGGTGGATAAGTTCCAAAGCAAACATAGTAATGTTAATTGTAGAATGCAGATAATGGGTAGACAGGGTTTCTTTCAACTTTCTTCTGTTTGGAAGGCTTTATAAGGATATATTGGGGAAATTTTCTCCAACAGCTGCCATTACATCAGGATTCAGTCCAAAGTCATTACCTGGGTCTGTCAGCCCTGCCTGGTCTCCCTGACCTCTATATTGATGCAGCTATATTGATCCTTACTGCTTATGCTCCAGATGTAGAGCATGTCTTTCAGTTTTTAATGTGATATCCCTCTTGTTTTGGAGCCTTCATACCTCTAATCACATTTTTAATGTAGTCCATTGCGTAGCTACAGGTCGAACAATACAAATATCAATTCTATATTTGAGATAAATATTGGCATTTCATATGACTCCGATAATAGTTGTTGGATGATCACTCACCCTTAAAAATCCAAGCCCCATGACATATAGTGCCTAGCAGAGTGCTTCACAAATGGTAATGCTCACCAATATATTTTGAAAATTAATTAACCTGACTGATTAATTGATAGTCTGTCAGCCACCTCTATCTTTGCCATCAGATTCCTTAACTGTATATATCCCAAAGTGCTGAGTGTTGCAAAAGCATCCATCCCTTTCTTTTACAAAACAAACAACAACAACAATAACAAAAATAAACATGTTCTTTGTTATAACAGGGAATTAAAGAATTATATCACCCTAAATCTGGACATTTCCACAAAGCAAGGTGCCCTCCTCAATTCTCCAGACAATGGATCTAAGCTTAACTTTTAGCAAACCCATCTAGAGATGAGCATGGATGTTTTTCAGGGTTTAGGCTTTTCCCAGAGGGGGAGAGAAGTCTTTGAATTCCAGAGAAGCTGCTTTTAACGGACAAAGGATTGCCTCTCCAACCCCCAGTTTCCCCATGGGTAAATTTGCATAGTTATGTTCACTTTCTAGAACTGTAAAAATTAAATGAAACATTAGAGGTGAAGAGCCCCATTGATAGGTTTTTCATACATTTCTGTATGCTTGAAAATCTCTTCCATTCACAGTTGTCACTGATAGGCAGGAAGGCAGCTTCAGTCTTTTGGGTGAGGTGAAGCCACAGGTTGGAGATGCAGCACTGCCATTGACCTTGACTCCTTTGTCCAGATGTCCTGAGAAAATTAAATGTCAGAGAAACCAGTTAAAAGGGTCTGGGAACGCAGGGCACTTCATTTCTAGAAGTGGAAGATACTATGCAGTACACTATTTTTCTAAATGGATTGACACTACACTAAGGAAAGCAAAAAAACAGGACACAGATTAATATATCTGAGTCTTAAAGACGCAGATCAATTCCGTCCTTCAGTATAAGTTCTTTCCTGATAGGCTACATACTGACCTGAGTGTTCCAACAGCAAGTACAAAATTTATTCCACACAAAGATCTTGATAAATGCTTGTTCAAAGCATGAAGAAACAAACACAGAAATTCTTTGGTGATACAGATGGTACATTTATTGAACTAAAATTAGTGCCAGCTTCTCCGGAGTACATACTTTAGCTACTTGATACACTGCTAGACACTCAATCTAAAATTGGAATCTTTTGTTCTAAACACAAGCAGCCTCATCAATTGATTAGAGAAACAGATCCAAACAAAGCAAAAATAAATTGCACAAACTTTTCAATTTGTCAATGGAAGATAATGGCCGTGTTGGAGGACTATTTGAAGCAGAGACTCTCAAAACTGAGGGTATATACAAAGTACCTGGTGGGGAGTTCTTGAATGTCTACCATGTCCAGGGACCACCCTACGAGAATCAGATTCTGAAGATCTTGGGTGTGGCCTTTGAATCTCTATGCTTATCAACCTGCTCTGGTGATTCAGGTGAAATAGCCCAGGGACCACAATTTAGGGGCTGCTGTCCTAGTGGTTGCGGTGACTAAAGTACTGATCCCTTTAACATGTTCTCATCCTTAATCCAAGGACCTGTGAAAGGTCAGCAAAAGGGAATTAAGGTTGCAGATGCAATTGAGGTTGCTAATCAGCCGACTGATTAGGATGAGGAGATCATCCTGGATTATCTGGGTGGGACCAATGTGATCATGGGAGCATTCAAAAACAGAGACACTTTCTTGTTTGTGAGGTCAGAAAGAGGTGTGATGGTCAAAGAAAGGTCGGGGATGTCATGTGGCTGGCTTTGGAGTTAGAGGAAGAGGTTCATGAGCCAAGGCATGTGGGAGACCCTAGAAGCTAGAAAAAAAGAGAAGAGACTGGATTCTTCCATACAGTATCCAAAAAGGAGCACAGACCTGCTGATACCTCAGTTTTAACTTAGTGAGATCTGTATTGGACCCCTAACTAAAGGACCATATGATTCTGATTTTGTTTTGAGTCACTGTTAACAACAAAAGAACATTAACGCTGTGTTCCTCTAGTCTAGTTCTTTTTCTTTTTTCCCATTTTTTTCTTTTTCCTCTTTTCCTTTCCTCCTTCTCTTTCTTCTTCTTCTGTTTTTTGTCAGCTGTGCTCTGCTGAGCCCCAGAGAAGGTCACATAATGCGGTGATCCATGGTTCCTCTATGGGAGACGGACCTGCAGTGTTTAT